TGAATTTTGTAGGATTTCGAAAGTGATTTTGGATTTTTATCTTTTTTAAGATAGATGACATAATAGTCAAGCTTTCTTGAGAATTCACTAAATAGATCAATTTCAAAGTCTCTTTTTTCATATTTTTTTTTCAGCTTTTGTTGGAAGACTTGTTTTTTTACTTTTTCAAAGGATCATCATCATCATCAAGGAAGCTTCTGTATGTGTCTTTCTGACATCCTTTGCATTTACAATCAATGTCCCAATAACAGAGTCTTTATGAAGATCTGTATGCATATTCAAGTTTTCTATCTGGTTCAAAGTGTGTAATTTGAACATTTGGTTTAGCTTGACATTTTTGCATCATGAATTGCGTAAGAAAGATGGTTTGGGTAGGAATATCTTTTCCTTTACTGTGATCAAACTCATTTGCCATAATGCCATTTTGATTTGTCTTGTAGGTAGGATCAAAATGTTGAATGGGTTCATTTTTCTTTCAAATCTTTAGGTAACTTGTTGTCCACGACTTAAGGAGTAAAGTGGCAAGTTCTTCATTAGAGATTTGCTTTGGAATGTGAACATGTCTGAGATTTTTGTTTGCTGCTTCCATTTTTACAAATATAACATCATCAAATTTTAGTAGAGGGGAGTTTATGGTATGATCTTGAATTTTGTATACAATTTGGTAATGAAGGGTTGCTTGAAATCCTTTCATTTCAGTGCTTATAATCTACACCTGAACTTTTAAAGCATTTAATAATGTGGGATCATTAAGAGACATTATAATTTAGGAAAACTATGAAGAAGACAGTTCTTGCATTGAACGTTGTCTTAACTATGCCAAGTACTACATGTTTGTAGTTCTTTGAATTTGTTATCTAACAAAGCCATCCTGATACATACAATAATATCATTTCTGTCATGAAAAGTCAAAGCTATTCTAATAGCACCAAAGTGGATATAAGTATAACCTTGCTCTAAACACTGTTGTGGAAACTTTTTTGAAATTTGAAAAGTAACAAAGTGCTTTTGGGTTCATGCTGAGAGAATACATTGATCAAACTTTGCGGCTTGAACATACTCTTTTAAAGCTTGAAATTTTGGCTTTAAAAGGTTTTTTATGGATTTGGTAAGGGAAGTGGAAGTATTGGAAAAAAAATATAAAGGTTTATAATAAGAAAGATTGTTTGTTAGAATGTTTTCTCTTCTTAGATATAATTTACTTCATAAAGGAATTCAACTTAGAAGAAAAAGATTTCTTAAGTGCAAGAGAAAGAGAAAAAGATAAATTAAAAGAAGATTTAGAAGTAAAAGGTTACAAATTACTAGTATTTGATAAATCCATTAGAATGAAAACTCTTTTGACTTTTCCTATCCAACTCAATTGTTAGAAACAGAATAGAAGGAGAATTCTATATAGTGTTGGGCTCTGATACCATTTTAAAACATATTTTAGGATAATACAGTGATCGATTACCTACATCAAGGTAAACCAAACATAAGCAGACCATAATTCAGGTATATAACAAAAGGATTTTAGCTGGTGCTCAAGACTAGGTGCCAAAGTGACAGATTTTTGCTTTTATCTTTGATAATGCACTGATCTACGTGGATGATATCTTGTTATTTTCTTTAGTTGTCACATTTCATATATAGTTATAGGATAAGTTTCAGACAATTGTTTAACAGTATGGGATAATGCTCTTAGAGAAAAAAGATGATCATTGACACCTTAGAAATTGATTTCCTAGGTATGTATTTGAAAGATGAACAATATATAGCTCAACCACACATTGCTAAGATACTTAAAGATTTTTCTTATGAAATCTTTCTAAGAAGCAAGTATAACAATTCCTCAATGTAGTCAATTACATGAATGAATTGCTTCTAGATATTGCACAAATAACTCATCCCTTCAGACAGATGCTAAAGAAAGAACCACCTAAGTGATCTCAAAAGAAGACAAAGTCAGTACAAATGCTAAAAATAAGAATGCAATCACTTCTAACTTTAAAGATTCCTTCAGATGAAAAAATAATATTACAGACAAATGCAAGTGATAAATTTTGGTGGGCAATCCTTATCGAAGAAAAAGATGAAACCAAACAAATATGTAAATACAAAAACGATAGATTCAAAGATTCAAAAATCTATTATCACTCTACACTAAAAGTGATTTTAGCTATAAAGTATGAAATCCAAATATTTAAATTTCACCTCATTAGTTACCATTTTCTCATATAATTAGATATGTTAGCTTCTGATCAGATGCTTAATTTTTTTAAAAAATCAAAAGCATAATTACTTAGACTCTCTCAATGATTTTTAAAGTACTCTTCCACCACAGCACATATAAAAGGAAATAATAATGTTCTCCCATAAATGTTATCTAGACCTCTTCCCAGACTTTTTTTGAGTTCTTTAAAGATTATTCCAATCATTTCTATGATGAATCTCTCACCCTCACCTTCTTCCTCTCAAGCCCCTCAATCAATAAAAAACATTTTCTTTACCCTTACTTTTACTAGCCAAACTACAAACCATTTATCCCAAACACAAATCATAAACCTGTGTTTCTAGTACAAAATCTCCCTTCTGAAATACAACAAATAGTTGTACAAAAACCATTGACAATTGTGCTAAAGATCTCATTTTTAAAATACAAGTTATACTCATCAGAAAAAAAAGCTGACCATGGCATCAGACCCATTGGGCTACATCCCAAGTATTCTCTATATAGCCAAGCTATTCAAAAAAGCTTTAGTTCTTCTATGGTATTTATGTTAGCTTTACACCATTGCCATCGAATTTAACTCAGCAGAACTCACATTCGCTACTGTTGTTTTAACCAAAACAAAATATCCAAATCAAAAGGATATTGCACTTGAAAATTTCTTGAGATGGTTTAACACTTTACACAAATGGTTCAACCTCACCAAAAACATTCCATAACACAACCATATCATCTTCATGTTTCACAGACCTTGCCAAATCTATGAAGGTTTTACTTTTTTTCAAGAGCACTTAAATATCTACATATGCAATCCGTACACTCTATACAAATCCATATTTTTATATGCTTATAAGTATAAACATCTCCTCAAAAGATTGTAAAATCAATCAAATCTCCTAGATCCTAGCAGAGCTTCCTTTTTTCAAAAAAGAACTATAATAGTGGTACCCTCAAGAATATATAAAAAAACTATATAGTCACCTTGACAAATGGACTCCTAAACCCCCTTCAATAATTGGTGAAGAGATCTGTCTCAAAGATTGGTAAACTTTGACCTTCATGATCTAGCTAAATTAGCTTAACTTCCAACAAATCCTTATAGACAAAATTTAGAAGATATTGCAAGAATAAGAGAAAGATTTGAATACAAAATGTACAGCTAGCTGTTCTAAAATTGTGACAAAGATCCTACAAACTTTGAAAAAGAATTATTTCAATAGGTAGTTAACTATTTATCCATCCAATACCTTGAAGATTTTTCAAAATGATCTAGTCAAAAATTCAATCATAGTGTTGAAGTAAAAAGAAAATTTCCTGTTTTAATCCAATTATATTTAATTATGTGTGATGCTTTTAAAATATGCTTTCCAGAGTCCTCCAAAAGATTTTAAGATAAGATTATGGCACATCAAGCTTTTCTTTTGTCAACATCAACTTTGACGTCAACTTTATGTCTACTTTAAGTCGTTTTTAAGTCAAGTCTACTTTTCTAAAGCTATTTTGATAAAGTAAAAAGAATCTTACATTTACTTTATTAAAGTTACCTTATTAGAGTTACTTTAAGTCAAGTCGATTGCTTTATATTTTGTCATAAACTTAACGTTATTATTATAGGTCCTATTTGTTTACTATTTGCTTACTTTTCTCTTGTATAAATTTGTAACTCCTTCTCGCAGAAGGAACAAGTCATAACTTTCCCAAAAAGTTTTTCTTTGCAAAAAATCTTTTTTATAAAATATGTTTGGCTAAAACTTCTCTTCTTTTTTGGTAATTTTTTCTTCTTTCGTCAATAGTTAGGTTTAGAATAAGAGAGTTTTCTATATCATAGTTTGCAGTGATATAAGTTACTATGCTCTACAGTTGTCAGAATATTATGTGTCTTTTGTATTATAAAACTTTATAGAATTGTTAAACAAATCATTGATCCACCCAGCTAAAGAAAAGTTATTGTACCAAGATCTTACTAAAGTAGGCTATCATATTGAAAAGTATATCTTTACAAAAGTTAGGCCACCAGTTGACGTTATGTAAAAGAACGCTTAATCTTAAACACCGATTAAAATATCTTGGTTATATGTCTGAACTATGAACTACTTATGTTTGGTATTTCTTTAATGTAGGCAATCGATCCCTCTGCTGTCTTAGAATATCCTATAATGGTATCAGGCACAACTCCATATAGAATTATTCTTTTGTTCTATTTTTAACAACTGAGTTAGATAGGAAAAGCCGAAAGAGTTTTAATTCTCATGAATTTATCAAATACTAATAATTCACAACCTTTCACTTTTAGATATTCTTTTAATTTATCTTTTTCCCCTTCTCTTGTACTTAAGAAATTTTTTCTTTTAACTTGAATTTTTTTTATGAAGTAGATTATATCCCAAAAAAGATAACTTTTAAAGCATCTAACAATGTCGGATTATGAAAAGACATTATAATTTAGGAAAACTGTGAAAAAAATAATTTCTACATTGAGTATTATCTCAACTATACCAAGTACTACATGTTTATAGTCTTTGAATCTGATATCCAATAAAACTATCATGGTACATACAAGAATACCATTTTTATCATGAAAAGTCAAAGCTATTCTGATAGCACTAAAGTGGTATGAGTGTAACCTTGCTCTAACCACTATTATGAAAATATTTTCAAAATCTAAGGAGTAACAAAATGCTTTTGAGTTCCTGTCGGAGAATACATTGATTAAACTTTGTGACTTGAATACTCTTTTGGGGCTTAAAATTTTGGCTTTAAAAGCGTTGTTATGGATTTGGTAAATGAAATGGAGGTATTGAAAAAAGCAATATAATGGTTTATAATAAGAAGGATTGTTGGGATTTTTTCATTAAATCAAATGATTTTTCAAGGACTTTATATGTCTTTGCAGTCACAGAAAAAAGGAACACATCAAAAGATTCAGACCTCCCAAAAACTCTCATTTTTCTAAACACAAAAAACTATTTAAAACAACAGAAAAGCCCAAAAGATTCTAGAAATTCAAGTTTGGTAAAAAGAAAAAAGATCCAAAACAGAAAGGAAATAAATGCTTTCTTTGCAAAAAATCAAGACATTTTGCATAGAACTACCCTAAGTCAGACAAAAAATCAATAAAAATGATATAAGATATTGCTAAAATCTATGTTATTAATCTTTCAAATGATGACCATGAATCAATTTTCTCTCTTGATGAAGAACAAAATGAAATATCATTGTTTATGATCAAGCAGTTTGATGATGATAGCTCAAACTCAGACTCTAATAATTATTCAGATCATCAATGTTTTGAATATATGTCAATCCAAGAACTCCAAAAAATTTAAACCCTTTAACCTTAAAAAATACCTTTTGCCTAAGTACAGATTTTTACCTATAAACACTTTTCTCTTATAACAATTACAGACTTGTGCTGCTCAAACCATAGCCAATCATATTGTGTTACCCAAAAACTTTAAAAAAAAAAAAGAAAACATTTTGAATTTTTTTTTCTACCTTTTTAGGCTATCTGGGCTTATAGTGGTCATTATCACCCGACAGAAGAGAATTTCATGGAATTATGCAGTTTCTTGGAGGAACATCATGTCGACTTGACAAATGTTAAGGTAACAATTGGTAGCTGTTCAGCTTCCTTTCATTAACCTGATCAGCCACCATTAATTCAAGACATTTTTGTTAAGATTATTTCTTTTTCCTCTGCAGAAATGTCCAATAGATGATGATATCCCCAGTGAAGTTAAAACTCATATGGAACTGAAATTACCAGGGTCTGTTAAAGAAATGGCTGAAAATATTTCATGTACAAATACCGACCCAATTCATGCCAAAGAGAATTCTATTAGAAAAGATCATGGCAACGAAGAAAATTGTGAGGGAAACAAGTCAGTTGACAAAACTGTGGCGTTTGATTTGGGGAAGGCTGTAAAATACAAGTGGAGTACAGGGGTTGGTCCTCGGATTGGCTGTGTCAGAGACTACCCAGCACAGCTACAATTCAAGGCACTGGAACAGGTTAATTTATCACCAAGGGTCAAGCCAGGACTTTCTTTGCTGACATGTGGCTCAATTCCTTCTCCAAGACCAAGTCCCAATGTTCACTTATCTACTAGGCTTGCCTATCTTGGACTAGTTAGCCCACGGGTTTAGGTTTCGGCTCGTAATTAGTCGTAATTAACCACGACTTTTTTTTGAGTCAACAGGCCTTTTGTGTTTTTCAGGAATAACCAAAAATTTATTGTTCTTTCATATACTTATTAGTTTTTCTTTTTTTACCTTGACTATGTAAGTCTTTTTGTGTTTTAGTTGAAATTTCGTGTAGAATTCCTTTTTTAGTCAAGTTTCTTGAGAAATTGTTTGGATTTGTTGGTTTATACAAAGCTTGTGAATTTTACTCATAATTCAAATACTCTAATTTTGGAATAGAGTTGGTCTAAATTTTCCTGTTAATTAACTAGCACAACATTTTTTAATTTCATGGGGGTTACAGCAGAATTATCGTAAAAAAAACCAAGCAAAGTTGGCCTAGAATGAGATGGGTCCAGCAGATTCCAACAGGAAACAAGTACTAGATTCGATGATTTATATGGTATAAAATATTAAAATTATATATTTGTTTTATACAAAAATTATGTATCATAATTTGTATTGATATAAAAATATAATATATAATTTTTTTATTTTATTAAACTTATATATAATTATTATAATTTTAAATCGTGTCACTTTCATATTTTATTTTTATATCATATTCGTAAAATTATATCATATTTTAAATTATATCTCTAAAAGACAACCATTCAATAGAAGCAAGTGAGACTCCTCCCCATTCTTTTTTTTTTTTTTAATGAAAGATAAAACAACATTTTGAAAAGATATATTTTGAAAATACTATTATTACTACTACACGAATATGTAGTAGTAATAGTAGTATTTAATTTTCAAAAGAAAAGATACAACAGTATTTCTTTTAGGGCTTTTAAAAAGGTTTTAAGGCTGCTTTAACAAAATTGGAACCGAAGGGATCCTTTTTCACCAACAAAAGAAAATGGATACTCAAGGACATGCAATTTGATTCTCTTTTATACTGCTCAACAGTACTTCTTTTAAGAATATTTGCATGTAGATATCGATTATATCTAAAATTTGTTTTGTTAACTCTCTTTAATTATATAAAATCCTAATTAAGACAGAAATTGGTCAGCATTATTTGCTGGCTTTTTAAGATTCATTTAGATAAATAATTAGATTAATTTTGGTAAAATTAAAAAAATAATAATATTAAATAATATAATGATGAAATTAAAATTAATATTAAGATATGAATGGAAATTAATTAAATTAGTAAGAATCGAATTTTTCGCTTGTAAAATTTAAATTCGATTCTTATTGTTAACAATTTGATTCTTGTTGTTAACAATCTTTCTTAATGGACGATTTATAAATATTTAAGATGTACAATCAACTTTGGTCCTAAATTGAAAAAGTTTCTCTCATCCTAAACTTTTATGCATTGAAAAAATAATAGTGATGACATACTTTTAGATGCATATTCAACAATAACAATAATGCCAAATACTAATTCACTGAAATCAGTTGATTGTCATAATTGAGTTTTTAAAAATTTTACATTAAAATAGTGACTATAAAATGATTTAATGATAGTGCAATTAATATATGATGAAATTTTATTCAAATGCATCTCATAATATAATTATTCATTAGGGGTCAAAACCAGCATCAAATACAAAGGAATAAAATCGAAGCATAAGAATAGAAATATCAACTTTTGAGATTTTACTTTGAATTAAAAAAAAGTTATTTTCAAAGTTGTAGATTTGTTTGAATGTAACGGTAGACAACCTTGTAAGGCAACAAGGAACGGTCAGACCAAATTCAAAAGCTAAAGCCAAAATATCCGTTAAGATAATTTATGATAGTACTACTTTTTTTTTTTAATTTCAAATTTTCAAAACTTGATCTTTACCATTAAAATGCTCACACTTACTTAGTGCCAAAGTTGTTAGGAAGAGTGGGGTTCAGTTCTATTGGTTTTGATCAATTAAAAAGTCTAAAGCTTTTTTTTTTTTTTGGCCTAAGAGAATCCTACTTATATAAAGCCTTAAACAATAAAAGGGAGGTTGTGTAATAGAGAAACAAACGGTGGTGTCGAAACCAAAAGAAAAAAGAAAAGCCCAAAAAAATAGAGAGAAAAAAGAGAAGGGAGAGTTGGTTGAACGAAAGTTGATCCGTGATTCGATTAAGTTAAAATTTTACCAGTATGTTTATGATTCAAAGTTTTATATTTTGAACTGGTGAAAATCAAGTTTGAAGCTCTCTAGGAACAAATTCAGGGTATATTTGTTAAGTCACCTATTTTGTAAGATTTCTTCAATTATTTCTTTAGTTGTTGATTGGCTCTAGTTTCAGTTAGAGAAGAACTTTGTATATCCATTATTTGATAGTGAAGATTTTTTTGATAGTTCGTAGTTTTTTTTCTCTATACTGAAGGGTTTTTCATGTAAATCTTGACATATTTTATTTTTTTTGCATTATTAATTATTGATTGTTGTCTATTACTATAAGTTTATTACAATATATTGCTTATGCGTTGTTGTGTTTACTGCTTTAGGCTCAACAAGTGATATTAGAGTGTGAGTTATTTTGAGATTTCGATACAAAAACAGCCTAAAACAGAAGTAAATTCTGTTTGAGGTCATGAAAGGTGATATAGATTCCATGATAAAATTAATAGTATCAAATTATTTAATTTGAAAGCTTATGATAGAAGATCATTTATATTGTAAAGATTTGTATGAGCTGGTATTGAGTGATTCGACTAAATCAGTATATATGAAAGAAAAAAGTTGAAAGAAGTTAGGCAGAAAAATGCTGGTTACAATAAAAAATTGGGTTGATATAAATGTGTTTCATTATGTAGTGTAGGAAACATATGCCCATATTATTTGAGAAAAATTAACAATATTGTATGAGAGAACAACATGTATGAATAAAGTTATGCTTGTTAAAATGCTTGCAACTTTATGGTATAAGGATGGACGATCAATTACAAAATACTTGAGTGATTTTTAAGATATATTTAATCGGATGACTACTATGGAGCCTAAGATGGATGATAAAATGAAGGCGTTATTTTTTTTTGGATTCATTGCTAGACAACTAGAATACTTTAGTTGTAACTGTTCTTAATTTACCTACTAATTACAATGTGACATTCGAGATGATAAAAGACAATATGCTTAATGAAGAAGTAAGGCAAAAAGATTTAGACTCTGAAAATCAAACTCTGGTCATAGAGAATAAAAGTAGAAACATTGACAGAGATCAAAACTCAAAAGGCCATAATAAGTCTAAACATATATCTAAGTTCAAAGATGAAATAAAATGTTTCCATTATGGTAAAGTAGGTCATATAAAGCGATATTGTAAAATCTTGAAGCAAGAACTAAAAGATGAGAAAGACAAGAGTTCAAATGATGACAATATTACAGCAGTAAATTCAGATAGTGATTTAGTTACTTTGATTTATACACATGATAATTGTAATCATGTTAATGATCCCGACATTGAGTGAATAGTTAACATATGAGCGATATATTATTGTATTCCTAAAAGGAAGTTATTTACAACTTACAAAGTAAAAGATTTTAGTTACACCAAGATAGAAATAAGAATGTGTCATAGATTGTTGGGATTTGTGATATTATTGTACAAATTAGTATGGATTGTATGTTGACTTTGAAAGATGTCAGACACATTTCAGATATAAGAATAAACTTGCTTGCTATTAATATCTTTGATAAAGATCGGTATGAGAGTTGGCAAAAAAATGGGCGGTGGAAGTTTTTCAAAGAATTTATAGTAGTTGTAAAGGAAAAACTATGCTACATAATGTACAAGATAATAATACAATTGAATAGCAACCAGATAAATACCATTGAGATAATGTTTCAGTAAACTTGTAGCATAAAAGGCTGACACACATGAGCAAAAAAGGGTTACAGGTTTTGATAAGGCAATCTCTTATTACCTTGACTAAAAGTATATCTCTTGATTCATGTGATCATTGTTTATTTGGCAAGTATCATAGAGTTTCTTTTCATAAGAGTTTTCAGAGAAAAGAAAATAGATTAAAATTGATTTATTCTGATGTATATGGTCCCATTGAGATTGAGTCATTAAATGATAACAGGTATTTTGTTACTTTTATTAATAATGCTTTATGTAAGACTTGAGTGTATATATTAAAAAATAAAAGCTAGGTATTACAGTATTTTTAAAAATTTTATGCTATGATGGAAATGATGATAGAGCTGTCCTTGAAGTGTATTTGAACTGATAATGATGGGGAATACACATCCAAAAACTTTGAAAAGTATTGTTCAAAGCATGAGATTAGGCATGAGATGATAAAATCTAAAACATCGTAGCATAATGGTGTAGCTGAAAGGAGAAACTGCACTATTATGAAGAAAGTCAGATGTATATTGAGGATGACAAAATTATCAAAGTTATTCTAGGGTGAAGTAATCCACATAGCTTATTATTTACTTAATAGATCACCATCAGTTCTTTTCGACTTTGACATTTTAAAAAGAGTGTGGATAGGGAAAAATATTTCATACTTTCACTTGAAAGTTTTCGAGTGTAAAGCATTCATGCATGCATCGAAAGAACAGAGGTCAAAGCTTGATAGTAAAGCCATATTATGTGTGTTTGTAGGACATGGTGATAAGTATTTTGGCTTTAAGGCATGGGATCCAATGAAAAAAAATAGTCAGAAGCAGAAATGTGATTTTTCATGAAAGAAAAATCATAGTAGATCTCAAGAAAATGAGAAGACTATACGAATTACTGTTGAATGTTATGTACAAAGATTCCACATGAAAGGGCCACAGATGGTGGAAATGAGCAAGAAACAGAACTTGACGATATGAATAAGCCAACCAAAATTAGTAATGAGCTAGACGTAATCAGTTTTAAGCAAGAGAAATAATCTTCTCTACCTAAAAGTGTTGATCAAAGTGAGCAGTCCTCTCTACCAGAGAGTGTTGAGTAGGGAGAGCTACCTTTAGCATCAAATAGTGTAGAGTCTTAGCCTAGAAGATCTACTAGAAAGCACAGGCTAT